ATTGCATGCCCTGGGCCATTTCATTGGAGCCACCTAATGAAGCGGAGGTTTTCGTCGAGATTCGACACCTTAAGAGATTCAAGTCCCGCGGCTCGGACAAACTTCTTCCGGAAATGTTCAAATTTAGCGGTTCAGCACTTGTCAGGCAGTTGACATCGATTTTTCAAGATATGACACCTGTGGTAAGTCAGTAACTGTCCCTATTTTCAAGGACGGTGCTCGCACATCCTGTGTTAACCATAGGGGAATCAGTCTCATGCCGGTTGCTTCCAAACTGCTGGCATCCATTCTGATCCGCAGACTATCCCAGATCCCCGAGCTGTTTGACCGAGAAGAACAAACTGACTTTTGTCCCGGTCGAAGATACGAGGACCAGACCTTCACGCTACGTCAAATCCTTGAACAACACCATCTCAACCACCAGCAAACCAGTGTCGTTTCTCTGGACATTCGAGCCGCATTTGACTCGGTTGATCGGTCTGCTTTATGGCACTGTCTTCTAAGAAATGGAGTCTCCGGAAAGCACACTTCTATCATTCGGACGCTTTACTTGCAAGTGTCAGGTAGAGTGAGTTTCTATCGGAAGTTTTCCTCACCCGTCGCTATCCCTAGTGGTGTGCGACAAGGGTGCACTTTGTCTCCATTCCTCTTCAACTTGAGGACGTCCTGTTGAGATCTTTGGAAGGCTCGAAAAACCTTGGTGTTGAGCTTCTTCCTGGCAATCGTGTGACCGAGTTAAATTACGCTGATGATATCGCGCGGCTCGGTGACGATTCACCCATTGTACAGCTTATTTTGAACCGTCTGGGGATTGAAGCGTCTAAGTATGGTATGCGCCTTTCCTCCTTGAAGTGTAAATTGTTACTCCAGGACTGGAAGTCGTCTGCTCCCTCAATTACCATTGAACGAACACAGCTAGAGCCTGTGGACGACGTTGTCTGCCTCAGAAGCTGTATTTATGCTGATGGCAATATTAGGGAAGAAGTATCACTTCGCATCGCCACAGACTGGTCGGCATGTAACAACATGAGTCATTTGCGGCGTCGTCGGGACATATCCCTCTCCTTAAAGGGGAGGATCTACAACGCTTGTGTGCACGCGGTTCTGTTGTACGGAAGTGAGTCTTGGCGGATGATTTAAGTAGGTTTTCGGCCTTCGACAACACATGTTTGCAGCGGATAACCCGTGCGTGGTGGCAGCACCGGGTTCGCAATGATGAAGTACGGTGTCGCGTCTTGGGAAACGTGAGCCTACCGTTTAATCGCCTTATCGCAATGCGTCAATTGAGGTGGCTTGGAGACGTTCTACATATGTCATGCGAGCGTTTACCATGCCGCGCCTTATTGGATCGAACTGGATTGAATTGGAAGAGAAGGCGTGGTGGCCAGTCAACCACATGGCGGCGAACCATGAAATCGCTGACCTGTCTCGCAATCGACGGCCCAGTACGTCTTCCTCGTTGGGGGCCCAAAGATGAGGAATGCAAAAATGGCTTGACACACATGATGGTATGACGCGAAACCCGAATAAATGGGTGAACTGCATATTGCAATGTTTTGAACAATACAATTAGAACTATACCATTCAAAACGCCAAAAAGACATGTGGAAACAGGCAAAAAACAAAAAGCCAAAAATATTTGTTATCTGCTCCTGACAATTGTACTTTTTTCTAATTTTTCCCTCATGGCTTTTCGATAGCTCAATATATATATATATATATATATATATATATATATATATATATATACCGATTGCAGAAACCTATAAATAGACAGGGTTATTGGGAGATGAGGAAACAGGAAGAGTGCGGCGTTAGACGCTAGTATGAAAACCGAGTAAATAATGCGAAGGCAAGCCATTTAGCTCTTGGTAAACGTTTCACAGAAATCTCACAAAGCACTTCAGAGCGTGGTGGTTGTACATCTGCCTACCACAGACATGAGCGCGCCTGGTTTCCTAACACAGAGCTTCGGTAGGCGGCAGACTCACGAGATGGTTTCCAAGTGAGATAGTTTATTGAAAGGCTTCCGCGAATATGCGCGTGCCCCGTCCAGGATGAGTAAACTCTCAGCAAACGCATATACTTATTGGTGTAGTCGTATCTAGCCGATAAGCGAGTGGTACGCCTATACCTAAAGTTATCGATCAAGGAGTACAGTATCTTCTGTATTTCACTAAAGAGCCATAGTTATCGTCTTTTTATTCCAGACTCAATTAACATAGTTCATTACAGTTGAACAACCATGACTCGGACACAGAAGTACGGTGGATCCAGTTGCAACAACTCACATTACAAGAATATCAATAAAAAACTATGATTGTAGAATGAGGCTGAATACAAAGAAAATGAAATCAAAATGAAAGTGCGTTAAAGTAAGCGGGATGGAACGAAAATTAACAACCACATGCAATAAATCGAATGCGGGAACGCCAGTGACTGCGTGAGCGTCATGTCTGAAAGGGCCTCTAACCACTTGTCTGAACCATCCCGAGGCCCCCATCAACAAAGACAACACGCATCAACCTGACCAAGTCTCGAAGTCAATTTCTTCACGCCTCTATGCCACGTCATGGACTGGCGATTGTGAACTGTTGTGTTCATATTGAAAATGTGTCAACGGATTTTGTGCAGAAATTACTAGCCTTATTTCCATTGTCTCAAAACTCTCAAGCATATCACTCTGCGACGACGTACTAGTTCCCGTGAGAGCCGAATCATTGAAAGTCAAATGTGCACCTTGTGTCGGCATACAGATCCATTACGGTTCAAGATTGGCAAGCCTGATGTCAAGGTATCAAGAGAGCAAGTGGTACTGAAGATCGTGCAAGAGAAGTAATAGTTGCTACCATGCATAACACTGAAACACCAGTTGTCGGACCCAAACTCAATTCGGATCGGCCAACAAAACAAGGTGAGGAAAGGTAGCAACCTCGAAGATCCCATGAAAGAGTCAGTTCTAGACACAGATGTCAGGAGAATGGGAAAAGGAGAATAAAATACGTTCAAAGGTATAAAGAGGAGTCAGAATCTCAAAATTAGTGATATCGTGGAATCCCAGTTTAATCCCATTTGTGTAGTCAACCATGATCAGGCTGAGCTGTGCGTTAACTTGCGTCATGTGATATATATGGTCAGAAAACAAGGTGGAAGGAGAAAACAAACAAATGCATTTGTGGAAGTTGCAAGGACCACTGGGCACTTCAGGATAACAAAGAGAGAAGCGAAGAATGAGGGGCACTCGTGGAAGTTTCCACTGCGCATCTATTCAGCGGCACAGCATATCCTGAGCGAAGGCAGCACTGAAGCGATGTAGCGTTCCGATGATCTCAATTATACAAGAGTATGAGAATTCAAACAGTGAAAAAAACCGCCAAAGATATAGTGATGTTCGAATGACGCGACGAAACCATTAAGCTTAAACCAACAGATTGTCTTCAAGTACGTCTGCTTCTGTTAGAGGACCTTAAAAGCATATGAGGTCGGTGGAAGTCGTATTGGTGCAATTCTCGCAATGGCGAAAATCTGAAGCATAAATGGGACCGAGCAATCTAAGGCGCTACCAAGTAGTCTGAGCGACAAAACACTCCCCACCGACAGCTTAGGCGGCTAGCCTACTGTGAAGAGATTGTGTTGACCGTCTAGTGAGTGAATCGGCGATTTAACAAACTGAGAAGCTGTAGCAATACACCATTTGGGATTACAGTCGAACGTGGATTTCCACTCTACATCAGGTACTCGAACACCGGCACCAGTTCCAGCAGCCCACGTTTGCTTGCTTCCTTGATTTTCGAGCTGCCTTTGACTCAGTTGACCGTGAAACACTCCGGAGAATCCTACTTGCCGACGGCGTTCCGGGTAAACTCGTTAAATTGATGAAACCATACTACCGCTGCACAAAGGCCCGTAGTTGGGTCTATGGAAAGAAAACAAAGGAATTTGACAGCAATATTGGAGACCGACAGAACTGTCCACTTTCTCCAGTGGTATTCAACTTCGCATCATGCGCTTGAGGGCTATCGTGATGTTCAAGTTAGCCCTGACTTCTGGCTGTCAGGCCTAGAATCTGCTGACGATGCCGCTATCCTCGCAGAAAATTCTACAACACTACAGCCATTGCTAAATTGGGTTGACCAAGCAGCCTCTATGATTCGCCTCGAAATTAACATCAGCAATACGAAGTAGTTTTCATCGTCGGCCACCCAATCCGCTCCGTCGTTCTCCTTACATGGACAATTCATCGAGTCTATTCCTGAGTTCAAGTACCTAAGATTCACTATTCTCCCCAGTGGTCAGGCTACATCCGATATCCGGAATCGAATTGACATCGCCAGAATAGCCTTCTCACAACTGAGGAACAGGTTGTAGCGGAGGACGGAAAGTAATCTGAGAACGAAAATCGGAGTATTCTCAGCAAATATTCGTGCCATTTTATTCTGCGGTTGCGAAACATGGTCGCTGCGATCAGAAGACACCCGGAAGCTGGAAGTCTTCGACCATTGGTGTCTAAGGCTTATCTTGTAAAAGCAGTTGCATGGGCGTATCACGAATGACGAAGTCCCTCAGCGCTGTTACGGTCTTCCGAAGCTCACAACGCCCATTGAAGGCCGCAGACTTCAGTGGTTTGGTCACGTCCTCCGCAAACTAGACACTGATTTCACTAGCGCAGTGGTTTCACCCTCGCCTTGCCAGGGTTGGTGTCCTCGCCTTGATAGACAATTGAAAACGTAGATCGCTGCAGTGAAATCGGATGTCAATATTATAGGACTCCAGGTTGTGTATGGTGCTAGTCACCGGCGGAATCATTGGATCAGTACCTGTGTGGAGCTTGGCGCCGACTGCCACACTTGGGCAGCTACAAGCGGCGAAATTCATGAGGCCAATTCATCCTGTCGTAGGAGCAAACCGCAGTAAAGTAAAAAGTAAGTGGATCCGAGATAGACCGGACAATGAGTAAGAGTTGGGTGGCAGAGCATGCGGGAAAGAAACGAAGCACTTACTGTGTACAAGAGAATGACTGTGAAAAACTGGACTAACGAGTAGCCGGACATGAATTTGAAAGTGCCAAAACTGGTCACAAGAGCACATCGACCGTCGCGAATCAGAGTGGGCACACAACCGATGTTCTGTTGCTTCGACGTGAACGGGCTGGCCACACTGGCCTCCGCGTCGCTCAGAGCGATTCCCGCGTGTGCCGCTTTCAGTGCACCGCAATCGTTCGCACCGTCACCACACATGGCCACGTAGTAGCCGACCAACTGTAGAGATTCGATGAGTTGGGTTTTTTGCTCCGGGGAGAAGCGGGCAAACACGGTGCCCTTAACGACCAGCTGCCGGAGGGGGAAGAGAGAGGTGGAGGGATATAACAGTGGTGAGAAAAAATGCTTTAAAAAGTGGAGAAGACGAAGCATACACTTATTCTAGCACAGTGTTCGAATGGTGCCCTGGAGTGGGTAGGATGTGAAATATTACGGTCTGCCATTATCCCCATGGCTCAGTGACATAAGCTGCGGTCTAGTGGAGGAAACTCCTAACGGGTTCGATTCCGGAGAATGTGCCAAAGGGATGAGATGGTCGTCCGGTGCTTTTACGGTTTGTAAACTGCTGAGACGAATCAGTAAAAGTAACAACATGTGGCAGGTGCCCAATACAAAGAGATTGGCGAATCAACCGTTAACAATCCATCATTGTCATAACTGGGACCGCTGTCTGCACGCCAACCACCAAATTTACCTCTCTAACACAAAGCTTCGTCATCTTAGGCACCACTAACACGTTACCTGGTGTCCTTCCCATCACTGGTCCAGCGGAGGTAGTAAATTGACGGTACCGTAACAAGGTACAAGTCACCTGGTGGTATAAACGTTTGTTGATCGTACCGGTGGGATTGTGTTGAATGTGATCATGCGCTGGTGCGCACGATGGCCCGCATGTGCTTCGCTGGCTCAGCTAGAACTACATGATTCAAACGGAATATTAAAAAATTTGGAACTGCACTGTGTAGAAAATGGAGCATCAACGAGACTGTTGGAAAATCCCGCGTGTCCCTCTCCTTCAGGCATCGACGATAACTAGCCACGCCCGAAACAAGCCAAGGCCCATTGTGTCCACAATTCACATCAAGGAAGTACCTCAGCTTCTTCGGTCCTCTTGTGATTCGTTTGCAGATGACCTTAAAATCTGGAAGGTAACTGACACTCCCGACGACTGCGACATTCTTCAGCAGGACCTTGACTGCCTGTTCATGTGGTCTGCAGAGGTTGATCTAACGGTCAACTGTGTCCAATCGGCATTTATAAGCCTAAGGGTGGAGATGGTCGAACGTACACTCTGGCCTAGCAAACTCTATATCCCACAGGTTCTGTGAGGGATTTTGGCGTCTGCTTACGCCTCGATTTGAAGTCCTTAGATAGCACGAACAAGCTCGGTAGAAAAAGGCTGCGTAGGCTTTGGACACGCAAACGTAGCTTCCGCATCTGGTATGAAGAAACAGCTGCTCGCTCTTTTCCAGATGAGCACACGGAATGGAATACCAGCGGATGATTCGGGATTGGTAACCCCAGGAGTGCACACGCGCAACGTGTCACATGACGCACACGATGCAGCTTCAACGGTGACCGATGCAACGATGCAACGTATTGAGAAAAGGTGTAGAAAACGAAGGGATCCGCCTTTGTATGTTTTCTCAGAAAAAGGAAATGGAGACAATCTCCTTGAATACTAATGGATAAGTGTTCAAACGGGCAATTTAAGCATCCGTGCAGATTGTTTGCCTAGCTGATTGGCTGATTCGGCATCGAAAAAGTACTCGTGCTTAGTGCTCCGAGGAGAAATTGTCAGCACAAACGAAGACACAACAATTGTAAATGACTGAAAGGAAATCTATGGCTCCGTGTTACAAAGCGCACGTGGTGGCTAGAATGGATAAGCGAAAAACTGGGGTCATTAGTAGGACACAGTTGGGGTCTTAAGACGGGAAAAAAGGCGAATTCTCGATACAGAACAAAGAATGGTAATTCGGATTTCCCATTATCAGAGGAACAGCGCAGCTGAACACACATCACTAGGAGACTAGTTGGATCACACGTATCATAATCACTTCAAATCCATTAAATTCATGTGAAGACGGGAAAGAGGTAAATTCAACACTCTCATCATTAGATCTAAAATTGTCAGTAGTACGAAGCGCACAGTCACAAGTGACAGACAACATGAGTCAGAGACAGAAGGGATGAGAACTCACTTTCGGAATAAGCCACGGATAGTGTTCCTTGATCACAGCCCATGTTTTGCCAGAGATGGCTAAATGGAAGTCAGGTCGGTCGATCATTCGGATGGTGACACGATGTGATGCGACAGGTTCTTCTAGACTATGTACATGGCCGTCCGCTTCGGCATCAAATACCGAGTCGACTGCGACCGTCCCTGGGATTTCGACCGGAGTGGTCAAAGAGTAACGTGTCACAGTGTCCACTGTATGGTAGACATCACCACTGGAGTAGAGTAGGATAGAATGAGTACAAGCATAGAAGTGGTGAAATGGCTCAGTCAAATACCTCAGGTCAGTGACGTTGGCCAGTCGTGATAGGAGAAACCATAATTAGGTTAAAATCTGTTACCTCGGCTAGTGTATGACGGTGATCATCAAAAGGAAGACGAAGCAACTTTTCGCAGACGTATACAGAGAATAAATGTGAGGATAATCCACACGACTACGAGGAAAAAGTGCCAACCGGCTGAAGATGGATCACGTAAATAGGATATCCAGGAAGGGGAAGGTAGGAAACGTTGACAGAAAGTACAAAAAGTTAAGGGACGACGACTTCAACGAGATAAAAGCATTAGAGTAACAAGTATGAAAGAAAAGTTCAAGGCCCCAGAGGGTCACTCAAGCCACCGAGGCATATGCAACAGGCCGGCACACCGTACCAGTGCCTTCGCAGTTTGTTCAAATCTGCTGGGAACACCGCGTGATCAACGAATGTGTTCGACGCTTTGTTTATGGCGAAGGAAGAAGAAGGGAACAAATCAGCACCGTTATTTCATGACCCAGGCTCCAATGGCTAGGCTGTGTTACGTACACCAGCCAACCGGCTCCTGCGACGTGAGTTGTTTGCGCGCCAGGGGCGTGGATGGAAGAGGAGAGGTGGCAAAGCGATGAATTGGTCGAGGGCAATGAAGCCCCTCATTTCGAAGCTGGCATCGGTTGGAGCGTCTCGGCTCCCTGGTTGGGGTCCGAAAGATAATGAACATGTTTGGATGGATACACTTGCTGAAAAGGCTAGGAGCTGACCTCAATGGCGTTCGTGCTGTGGGTTTCTTTGTCCCCCCTCCAATCGCGATCTCATTTCTTAGCATAATGTAATGTTGCATAATAATTTTTAGCTGCATAGTAGCCGGCTGATAGCTTTCCGGAACGATGCTTATCCGGTATTGGTCGCTAATCTGGCATGCAACAGTTGCATGTATTTTTTCTTTTATGCATTGCGGTACAGTAGCTTAGGTGTTTTCCACCACTAGCTAACGTGTATAATGCTGATGATGGCACACCGCGCCAGCGTTTCACTTTTACGCGACTAGCAAGTCGCACGAAGGTTGGATATACTGTGAGCTCCGGAGAATCACCAACTTGATGTACGCAAACCACCTGTGAGTACGAGCTCTCAACGAACGGAAGGATGACGTTGTGCACATCGACTTTAGTAAGGCGTTTGACAGAGTGAACCACGAGGTACTCCTTGGTCAACTGAGGACATACGGAATCGGTGGCACGTTACTTCAGTGGTTACACGAGTTTATTGTGGGACGGAAGTTTAGAGTACAGGTCAATGACTACCTGACAGACTGGTTCCCATCGACTAGTGGAGTGCCTAAAGGAACTGTACTTGGGCCAGTATTATTTCTTATTCATATCAACGATCTTCCCCAGCAGCTCCAGTCACTATGTGCCCTGTTTGCAGATGATCTGAAAATCTGGAGGATCATTGAGAACCAGGACGACTGCGCTCGCCTTCAGCATGACTTAGAGCGACTGTCAATGTGGTCCACTGAAATGCAACTCCCTCTTAACGCAAGCAAGTCGGAGTTCGTCAGTATCACCAGACGTCCAGCCACCCGATCATACACCTTGGACGGCCAGTTGCTCCATCCCAACACATCTGTCAGAGACTTAGCAGTTCTCTCACGACATGATCTGAGATCACTAGAAAATACAGAGAAGTTGTACCGTACGGGACTTCGTATGCTCTGGGCATTACGACGCAGTTTCTCCACATGGTCCGAAGAAACCGTCCCTCGTCTATTCACCTCGCTCATTAGACTAATCCTTGAATACGGTGTCTCAGCTTACCATCTGATAACCCAATGGGAAAATGAAAAACTGGAGAAAATACAGCATATCGCAACTAGAATGATACCGAGTCTACAAAAACTTCAGTATGAAAAACGTTGTCAAAGGCTGGGACTCTACACACTATCCTAACGCCGAGTAAGAATTGACCTTATTATGACCCATCGAGTACTACACTTAAATCACTTCCCCATAATGCGGCCAATATTTCACCTGTGGGAACCCTGTAAAACACGGGGACACCGTTACAAACTCAGTGTCCCCAACATGAACAAAGTATCACATCAGCTTTGTATCGAACGAAGAATAGTAAACTTATGGAATATACTACCCGAAGGATTAATGGAGGCCGATTCTGTGAAGTGTTTTAAAACCCGTATCGACGATTATTTCGGAAAACTGTGCTTTTGTGAAACGATGCACATACAATGCCAAAAGAAGACATTGTATGCCCGGAAATAATGACACTAGTACAAATTCCTAACCGAACAAGGATAAACGATTAACGGACCAGACACAACTGCTGACGATTCACAACTAAATGTTTTTGATTTTTCGTGATTCGATAGAGTTGTACAGAAACCTTTCTACTTGCTCTTAAATATAGTCTCAGTCTCAGCACAAGTTAAGCGGGCAATCCGTTCTGCTACCGACCGTGGAATGATAAAGTCTAATGGGAATCTAAGTCGGAGTCAATCGCCAAAGGGTAAGGGTACGGGTGCTCCCATTCTTTTGGAAGACATGGAGAAGTTTGTGAAATGGTGTTATTCTAGTGTGGTGGTGATGGTGATATGTGGCAAGATGCGAAAAGAATTTAAAGCACCATGCTGTACACCGATGGAAAGCACCTGCAAGAACACAAATATCTCCAACGGAATGAAAGATTGGAGGTCTCGTTTGTCAAAGAAGGGGGTGTCATGATGAGTGGTGGGGAAGACAAATACCAATGGCTAGTCTACAACAACGGGAATGAGATGCGACAAGTCTGTTGCTGAGCAGCTGAGAGATGAAGGGAAAAACTCCCCACGCAAATGAACTAAATGTGAGACATGCCACCACACAGAGATGGTTGACAATGGTCAGACAGTTTTTTCTGTTAACGCACACTGGTTTAACTGCAGTGGCATAAACGATGCGCTTCAACAACAGCTCGATATTTCCTGCATCTCCAAAGACAATTTAAAAGGAAATTGGGAAGAAATTTCTTTACGATAAATCTCTTCAGGCAAGTACAATTATGAGCTTCGTAATCATTTTTGCAGTGGCTATTGCTAGCGATGCGACACAAAGTCGTGAATGCTGCGATCGGATGGACGGTGCCAATCTATGTCTATTTGAAACCACTACCATTGACCACTATGCCAGAAGTCAGGTGACCAGGCTAGGGCCACGGTAGGGTTAAACTCTGGATAAGTGCACGCTGTTTGCACAGTTCCGGCTTCAGTTGCTTGATCACGATTGCTTCCGCTGTGACCAGCAGGCGCTTCCTGAGCCCTTTTGTGCCGCGTTTTGCTGTTACGTACACTATTTTGAAGGTCTCTTTCGTTTGTATGTTACGTCCACTATCTACTAGGTGTCCTTGGATGGAGCTGTGGACATTTCTGGTGGTACCACGCTGTAATGAGGCAGGGCAGTGTTCCGCTATCCGCTTTGACAGACACCTGGCCGTGTGACCGAGGTATCTCGCACCACAGGTGCGAGCGAATTGATATAGGACATCGGATTCGGACTGGAGTGTTTACAAAGAATCCAGTATCCGAAGATATACTGGAAAGCTTTACAGTGATGTCATATTCGTCCAACTAGCAAGTGTTCATAACGGCATGCTTACAGTCTTTTGGAAGATGTTCAGTCACGAGTTCTTGAGTAGCAACGGCTTTGCTCACATTACCAGTTATCCGTAGATGAACTTAAAGAGAAGGAACGGAAGTTGTTCCTGGATTACATGTCCGAGGTATGCGCAAAGACTGAAAAGAGAATATACACGAAAATGCTAAAGAGTTTCACACCTGACGTACATGCACTTCCACAGTTGCGTACCAATATATTACAAACGAAACTTGATATGTTGCCTGTATTATCGGTCTACAAGAATTTGCAGCCATGAGACACTGGAAGCGGAAAAGGACTTCACACCATAGAAAGCAAGGGGTACCCAACTGCTTACATCAAAAAGCATTCCTAGCTCCGAGTTGAGCCTGAGCTGAAAATGACCGTGAGAAGGAAAGATGTTTTCCTCTCAGTGCCTTTCAAGGGAGACACACAGTTCGAACTCTTGAGTAGGAAATTGACTTCCGAGCTAAACCAAACGTACCCGGCCGTCAGAGTCTGCATTCACGCCGAAACCGTTCCGTACATAACCAACCGTCTAAAAAACAGAATTCCGACCCAGTTCAAATCCCATGTCCTATATCAATTCACTCGCACCTGTGGTGCGAGATACCTCGGTCACACGACCAAATGTCTGTCACAGCGGATAGCGGAACACTGCCCTGTCTCATTACAGCGTGGTAGCACGAGAAATGTCCACAGCTCCATCCTATGACACTTAGTAGATAATGAACATAACACACAAACGAAAGAGACCTTCAAAATAGTGTGTGTAACAGCAAAACGCTGCACAAAAGGACTCAGGAAGGACCTACTGGCCACAGCGGAAACAGTAGCGAGCAAGCAACTGAAACCGGAACTGTGCAAACAGCGTGCACTTATGCAGAGTTTAACCCTACCGTGGCCCTAGCCTGGTCACCTGACTTCTGGCATAGTGGTCAATGGTAGTGGTTTCAAATAGACATAGATTGTCACCGTCCATCCGATCGCAGCATTCACGACTTTGTGTCGCATCGCTAGCAATAGCCACTGCAAAAATGATTACGAAGCTCATAATTGTAATTGCCTGAAGAGATTTATCGAAAAGAAATGTCTTCGCAATTTCTATTTGACATCAGAATGGGTAAATTTCATGAATTAAAGACAGTTTGGACTACAACGGTAAGCGCAGCAACGTATCAGATGAACTGAAAGGCGTAAAAGTCAGGGTCCATAAGCGATTTAGTTTAAATGGCTATATAATGGGAAATGCTAAAACGTCCGCCAATAAAGTAGCCGCGCCTCGCATCCACAAAGATGCAGAGCAGTGGCCAAAGAAAGGAGAACACCGTGTACGTCCACAGAGCAGAAATCGTACATATGTCTGGACCCAAGAAAGCGAGGTTGTCTATGTAAAACAACAGCTCTAGATGAAGAACCCGAGGGCCAACTATGGAGATTCATTAGGACCACAAACATGCAAAAACAAGGCTCGGCAGTGAAGCAATTCTAGGACCTGTGTGGTCTTTCAAAGCTTCAGTCGCTTAGAAGAGAGTGATAACTTTCGTGGCGCAGTTACCGTGAGTATTCGGCCATGAGGCTGACTGTGTATGATCACAGATACCAACCTGGTTGTAAAACCGAACGGGTAATGGAATTGCTCAAATGATGGTGAATATTGGAGTCTTCGGAGCCTCATGAGACATGTTGATGAGCTCGAATCGGCACCGTTGACCCGGCCATTTGCCATGCATGCCTGTAAGCCGACTAGCACAGTGAGGCATCAGCAGTATGCCGGCACGCAGTACAGACGCTTTGTTGCCGCGCATCCGCCACCAGTTGCGTGTGGGCTAAGGATATTGCGAGGGGTGCCCGGTCCCTTACGCAGACTCCAACCCACGGCCTCAAATCACAAAGCCGGTTTGCAATCCTTAAGGCCATGGGGTCGGCCAATTCAGTGTGTCGTTTGCTAATAGCGCGCCTAATTTGGTAAAACAAGCAAATGACCAGTTTAGGTGGCACAAAAAATCATGGAGAAACTCACGGAAAAACCTACTCGGGTTGGCGCCTGTTGCCTCCCCGAGTGAAGTCAGCGATTGCACATCTTATCTGATACGGTGCGGTCACTGAGTCAGTATTACTTATCAGTGTGACAGCAGCTGCTTGTTCTGCCGAACGAAATCGGACAGTACAGACCCAATGGTGGTTGGTCGATAGGGCCATGATTCAAATTTGTCCGTAACAGCATATATTCGTCATATTATTTTAGTGACGTGTATCCACACAACTAGATATATCGTATCTCGGGGACAAAATGATCTGAAGACACCGCAACATGAGAGGCTAGCATGGCTCGTGACAGCAGTTTCACAAGCGATCAGTTGGCAATGAGCAAGCAGTACGAAGTTCCTGTAAGACAGATGAGCGAAAGTCGTGTCTGCCACACTGAGGACTGGTTCGAATAGTAGCCAAGAGATTGGCAATAGGGACCAAGGTTGATGTTGGAAGAAAAATGTGAAGTGGAAACCCTTGAAATGCTGACCAGGATTACCCGAAACCTTACGTCGCACCTGAGCGCAGTTAGATTGCAGGTCGGATGCTACTAGGAAAACAAGTGACGTTTGTCAGGATTGTCAAATTGCCCATTTTCGTTCAACTTTGTGGTGGAATTCATCACGGAGTGTACCCTTGCCAAGCGTCACAATGCAGACGCTGAGGTGTAGCCTGGTGAAAAGCTAGTTGGTTTTGATTATGCGGACGATATCATACTGCGTTTTAACGATGTTGGGGTGGCAGAATTAACCCTGAATAACCTCTCTAGAGTGATACCATCACTTTGTACATGCTTCGCATGTTCAAAGTGCTGTTACAGGATCACTAGCCACTTGATGAAGAAGTCGAGGTAGTTGATCACTTCACCTACTTCTGTCACTGCATCACCAACGATGGGCACAAAGAAACGGAAGTCAGTTCACGAACTGCAAAAGCTAGGACTATCTTCTTGAACCTGCGACATCTGCGGCGTCAGAAGGAGGTTTTTCTCGGTCTGAAAAGCCGTGTTTACAAGGCCACCGTGAGGGTCGTTCTACTTTATGGAAACGAGACTGGGCCCCTCCGATCTGAGGCGCCTTCAAGTCTTTAATCATCGTTGTCTGCGAAACATTGCTGGTGTCGGATGGCACCAGCGTGTCCGCAACGATGATGTGCGTAGGCGAGTACTAGGTGGTGATAATCAGGCTAATTTCTTAGGATAACAGGTATCACTGATTAAGTTGCGTTGGCTTGGGCACGTACTACGTAGGCATAGTCACCGTTTATCGAGGAGAGCCTTGTTTTGTTTACTAGATGTAGCGTGGTGCAAGACTCGAGGTGGGCAAAAATTGACTTTGCAGCAGCAAACGAAGTCACTGACGAACAAACTGGACACCATCGGTCCGTCTCGCCTTCCAGGCTAGAGTCCAAGTGACCCGTCTTGTGCTTGGCTTGAGACGTTACAGGACATGGCTGGCAGTCGACACCAGTGGTGTGTTTACTGTCGTCTCCTGGTTGGACTGCCTGTGGAAAGTGCGTTTGGTGCTGAATTATCTGCGGCGTAATGGCTGATTATGACGATGGGCAGTGAAAGCCACAAGAAAGTTGTCTCGCTGAGGCCGCCTTATCTTCGCACAATAGCCAGCTGTTTGTGATGGTATGTTGTTGGCAAGATGTAGGCGCCTTAAATCCGAGTTTGTTTAGGGTATTAAGGTATTACCGCAGTTTCCCCTTCTCTCTCTCTTTTATTCTTCATCTTTCCGTAGTTTCCCGTGATTGTAAGGCAGCGAAGCATTAGTTCAAGCGGCTGATGTACTACTGTTGATGATAATGAAGACCCATGATCCGTATGTACTACTGGGTGCTAACAACAACTGCTTCGATGGATCAGTATCAACGACTAGTTCAAACACGCTGGCTTAAATGAGTGTGGCATCCACGCGATGCATGCATAGGTGAACGACGCTTCAAAATCCGTCAGGTTAAAATGGAGATCCATAGTGTGATCGAAGAAATTCCGGGAACGCAGCAGAGTAAACTGAAGCGTCTGGAGGATGAGTGTTACGTGTGCGAATTGTGACAAGGTCACTCTCAATCACCTACTTTTGACAACCGGTGACGTCAAAACAGAGTGTGAGAACGCGTAAACAAGCAAATCTCAATGTGCATGAAGCTCAGATTGGAATGTGCGCGACATCACGCACACAACGAAATGAACACAAACCGGCGGTGTGCGTGATAGGAGGGGCGAGCCGAGGGTGAAGTGTCAAATGAACGGAAGACCGACGTGCAAGCGCGCTCAAATGAGTGCTCAAGCGCGGGCGGAGAAACGCATGCGCTCACATACGCAAGTAAGCCAGCGCCAATTGAAAGCCATGGTATGCACAGTTATGATCAATGGAAAGACACGCAGATACATTGACCGAAAAACAACACAAACTTTAACTGCGGTAAACACATGGAATGTGAAGATGAGACGAATGAACGGAACGAAGTTCACAACTTGGAGGTAACTTAGTGCATTGCGATAATGAGATAAAATGAGGAGGAAGTGAGAGATGAATGTTGGGGATTGTGGACAAATAAACTTACGCGCTCGAAGATCGTTTGCCTCGAGAAAAGAGCGAGGAGAGGAACGGAAACACTTTCCATCGAGGGCGTCGACTACGATGACCACGCCAGCCACGAGCACCAGCGCTGGTAGCTGTCACTTCGGTGACAGGTTTGTGCAAATCCTCTGCGTAATGAAATTCGACAAGAGTGGCAGTGCCTTCTTCGACGGAAGATGTATCCTGACTATACTCCAATGATCGCTTTAATCCTGCAACCGACGGCTTTGAGTTGGCAGGGTTAGCAGCACTCACATCATTGTCGCGAACATGGGCGGTGAAGCCAGTATCCCCATCAGGAGTCTGGGAGGAGCTGGTTTTTGGAGGCGGGGGTTTCGCGGACACAATAATAATACGATCCGATTCGTCGATCATCCCACAATCGCGAGCAACCGAAAGGGCTGTAAGCATGTTATCACCTAGAACGAGGGAAGGTGAACGCGAATCAACGATGGCAGCAACGAATAAGAGGGTAATGTGAGACGGAAATTCTTTCGAGAGACCTAACAGACTGTATCATCTACCGTTCTGAGGTAGTTTGCCTTAGAGGAGATGAAAAGAAAGGCGGAGACAGTGGAAAAGCATGGTGGTGTACTTGACAAGATCCATTTTCCAGTTTGGCTGTTCCTGATACCGAAAACAGTCACAGGAAGGCTGTATCTATCATGCGACCAAGAGGGGTTAGTGATGGAGAAAGGTATCTGTAGTACGCCAGTAAGCAGTACCGACGTTTTGCAGCCACGTAATCACTACCAACCGCGCGTGGGCTACGGAAACTGCAAAGGACGCTCGGTCAGATATACAGGTTGGGACTCGCACCCTCGCATTACAAGGCAAGCTTGTGATCCTTTAGGCTACGATGAAATCGCGCCCTCGATTTAGAGTGAGAAACGCTGATGATGGTAACAAGGCATACGAGTAACAACCAGTTGTGTTTTAGAACCTGCCTAGACATTTTTATTTAGGAAATCATTGAAGCTCAGACGAATTCACATGGCACTGCACCAGGGGGTCATGGTAGGGTCTAGAGACCATAAATGCAATGTACCCAGTGGGCAGTTTAGCTCGACCGTCGATGGTTGTGCGCAGTGAGTCATAGCCCACTCCACAGGAAAAGAAGGGTGGTACCACCAAGAAAACCGCACATCCCATCTCTCGCAAAAAATAGTCATAGGCAATCAAAGTAGTGAATTCATCGTCGTCGTCGTCGTCGTCGTCGTCGTCATCATCATCATCATCATCCATCATCATCATCATCATCATCATCATCATCATCATCATCATCATCATCATCATCCATCATCATCATCCTCATCATCATCATCATCCTCT